TTAAATTTGCTTTGATAACCACTGACTCAACTTTGATAAAATCTAATGTTTTTATTGAAAAACCACTACAAGTTTCAACCTCACAGGTGGTACACTAACTACTAATTGTTATTACTAAATTGTCATATCATTTTAGCTACCTTACTGAAATATGGATCCAGTTTGTCCACAGTTTTAGTGTTATATATACTGAAGTTTTATGATGTGTGGCATAAATATCTCCAAATATAAACAGTATGATAAAAAGTTAGGTTCATATACTGGTTGATAATCTAAAATAAAAGTTACATATACTGAAAATATATATGCAAGTGTGAACTGTATTTCTTTTTTTTCTTATTTTTAGCTGACCATGAATATAGAACATATCAATCGAAGTAGTCACAGTGTTAAAACATTTAAAGAGTAAAACAACGAAGATGAGTACCTGGTATAATTATACTGAATTACTGACGTAACAGTGTGATCTTACGTGGTGTCTGTTGACATGCAGGAAGTATCATCTGGGGGTTAAATATAAATATCATGCAATAGTATGTGACATTTATGGAGTGTTGGTTAAGTGGGACTTTTTGTTCCAGAGTCAAATCTTATGGTTTTTCAATCTTGCACTAAGTTGTGAGATTGCTGTACATCAATGAGGCCAATCCATCTATAAGAATTTGATTGTAATTCTTGAATTGTTTCCTAATATGGATCCATATTATTACAGTATTTTGCTATCAAATAGTAAAAGTAAAAATAAAGCTATCCCTGTAACAGGCCACGAAGGCCCATAGGGTTGTGAGATGTTGAGGCTCCCACATTTTCTAGACAGTCAGCTCATAGATGGTGGTAAGCCTTATGCACTGGCCGCTCTTTACCCCCAGAATGTACCTGGTACTCATTTCTGTTAGAGGCTGAGTCGACCCCAGGGCCATCGTGCAGCAGGAAGAACTAGGTCAATTGAAAAAATCCACCTCATTGGGATTCAATCCCATGACCTTCTGGCTTGTAGCATAGTGCCTCAACCAACTATGCTACCGTGTGACCCCCTATCAAATGGTAAAATATTGTAATAATATGGTTCCATATTAAGGAACACAAAAAACTAAGATCAAATTCTTATTGATTCACCTGCTGATGACCTTGTGCAGGTTGAAACATGTATCGAAAACCTTTGCCTAATAAACGAATGTTGATACGTTAGTACTGATTTTGTTTGTGGATATTGTTTTGTGGATGGCCCTTAATGCTACTCCATGAATATGTTTTAGTATATTTAATTTATTTTGTTCTTGGTTTAGGTAACCACCCTTGTTACTGGCCTCAGCTCTGTTATCTGTTAATTATGCAGCTGGGCTGCAGCAACATTAAGACCGGTGGTCACTACTGTAAATCTTAAGTGCTCACTGCATTTTCTACCTGTACGTTAAACCTCAATCAGGGACGATACAAAAAAAAATGGGGGGGGGGAGGAAAGGGAAGATCAACAGGAAGAAGGGAGTGGTTTGATGCCCTATAACAACCAACCTTTTCCTGCTTCAGCTGACAGAAGAGCATCACTATTCATTTTTCATTGCATGGTTATCTGTCTTTGTTCACACAGTTCATTTGGTTTTACATGACTTTATGTTGATGTGGTTCACTTGACTTTGCTGTGGTTCGTTCATGTTAACATGTTATGTAGGTAAGTCAATAAGTAAGTTACAAATGGATATAGAACTTAAACAAATAAGAGTACTTATTTGAAAAATGCTTTTATTTCTCAACATAATCTCCCTGTACATTGAGGCACTTGTCCCATCGTTTCACAAGCCCCTGAAAGTCAGGGCACGAGGGTATTGCTGGAAACGAAACAGCAGATCAGTTGGCTAAAATTGGAGCTGAACCAGCCTGTGGCATCTCTATAGGAGTTGCCAGAAAGGCAATCAGGGACTGAACAAACATGAAGCACAAGAAATACTGGGGATCCTTGACTGGACTCAGGCAAGCAAAGGGACTCATACAAGGACCTTCTGCTAAAAGAGCGAAGGAACTGTTGAAGTTAAATAGGAAACAGCTACGATGGGTGGTGGGGCTGTCACCTTAAAGAACACCTCTTCAAATCGGGACTAAGTGATAGTCCCACTTTTGAGAGGTGTCGAAGAAAATGAAACAGCCACACATATCCTGTGTGAATGTGAGGCCTTAGCTTATTTAAGATTACGTCACTTGGGTCAGTACTTTATGGAACCAAGTGACTATTTCGATGCCCCCAAGTACAAAATCGTGCGCTTCATTTGAAGCGCAGGATTGCTGAGAGGATAATCAAAAGGGGAAGCACAACAGACTTGAAGCGCAGGATTGCTGAGAGGATAAGCAAAAGGGGAAGCACAACAGACCACTGTAGGTTGCAGTGCAAGGGCCGAGAAGGCCCACCCCTTATACATTCATTCATTCAACGATGGGACAAGTGCCTCAATGTACAGGGAGATTATGTTGAGAAATAAAAGCATTTTTCAAATAAGTACTCTTATTTGTTTAAGTTCTATATCCATTTGTAACTTACTTACTGACTTACCCTCATATTTCCATCTTAGTAAATATAGATGTGCCACTGATCACAACTTGGATCTCCCTGTATATGCATGCATTTTGATGAGAACTGCCATATCTATACAGCTAAGCCAGATCATACTAATTGTGAGTTGTTTATTGTGACTTGCACCATAACTCTGGCTCCGCTCGGTGGACGTATGACCTACCCTGAAGAAGTGACCTCACCTGCATTACAGACAGTGGGAACTGAGGATGAACTGTGTACCCAGTACTTGACTGCTCTGGGAAACATGGGTTTGGAAGGAATGGGACAAAGCTATCATCACCCTTACATTAATAGCTAGATCCATGGATATTTCTGCTAACAGTCTAACTGGCATGAGTATTCTGTAACTTTGTCAAGTTTCTAACTGTTGTAAATTCTGTGTATGCATTGAAATTAGTTAGCAAACATCCATTTGTCATGTCTTCACTATGACTCGGAATATGTGAGGCCTGTTATTCCCAATCAAGTGACTACAAAACCTATACAGTGTCCCCCAATATTTTGCTTTCATTTTCCTGTGGGATCTGTTCACTGTACAATAATGTCATATTTATTTTGTAAAAAAATTACAATTCCATCAAGTGTAACACATTTTAATAAACAGATAAAATATTTTGGTGTCAACTTATATGTTTTACTGTAAATAGCCAACAGTGTTAAAAGGGAATATCTTATTATCCTACAGACCAATTGGGAGCGTTGATGTACCGTATTTACGCATGTATAGGCCGCACATTTTTTGCTAAAAATTCAAGAGGAAAACTGGGGTGCGGCTTATATTCGAAATATTCGAAATCACACTTCATCAAAAAAAAAATTATATTCATAATTAGTAATGAATAATTTCTACTCCTGAAATAATATTCCAAGAAAATTATTTTTTCTATAATTTGTCTGAAAATTGTGCTGCGGCCTATACATGCGTAAATACAGTAATTAGTGATGAAGGTTAGTATTAAAGTAGTTACGTTGTTTTGTCACATATAAAATACAGTAACATTTGCAGTAGTTTTACAGACTATGGTAGCACTGTGTATTTTGCTGTGCGCTGCATGGTAAAGTCAAGTGTGATGAACTGAATTCATTGTCACATGACCTCATCACAAACTACATAGCAGAACACATGTAATGTGGATGGCCAGACCATTGCTAGATAACGGACAGATTACCCCGCAATACACGCATGCAACCCGCTTCTACGCAATGCTTGCACAGGATCAATGATGTCACATTCCTATTGTACTATAAATCACGTGATTTGTTTTCTGTGTTGTCTGTGCAGCATCTATACAATGAAGACCTTACACTTCAGTCAGTGGAGAGTACAAGGATGAGAATGCAGGGTGAACTGTGAAGACTGAGTACAGATTAGGGCAGAGGAGTACAGAGTAACTTAAGACAAGAAGACTTTATAGTGATTTGAAGTGATAGTTTCTGTATTGAGATCTGTTGCTAGGAGACAGCCAGTGGAAACAGAGAATCCTAGTGCATGCGCAACGGTGAACTATATATTGTGTAAATCAGTGATAGCGCTGTATTGCCTGTATTTAAATGTGATTCAGAGAGTGTGTAACCGAAATGCTAATGAAGCCAACCATCAAAACTAAAACACGTCATTTTCGTTGCACATTACCACCCTACATTACCATAGACAAAAAGACAACATATAACACACAACCATGAGATTTAATAAATTTCATGCTATCAACTGTAAAACTACTATGATTGGTGTTATTGTATTTTACTTTTTTGCAACACAGCAGAACCTTTTCAATTATTATAATTATTTTAAATTTCAGTTTTAGCACTAACCTTCTTCATCACTAGTACCAATTACATCAACCCCCTCAATAAGTCTCTAGGATAACTAGTCTTGTAATAAAGACTTATGTAAAATATTTACAATATTGCTGTTGGCTTTCCTTTTGAAGATGGCCACTTATGGCCGAAACATGTATGCTTGCAAAATATTTTATTTATTAAAATTTCTTACATTTTATGGAATTTAAATTTTCACATATCAGTAAAGTGTAATGGTTAGAATGTCCTCTATAAAGGATTGTATCTCTCATTTTAAATACCGGTGAGAAATAAATTGGAGTGGAAAGGGCTAAAAAAATGTGTTAAAAATATGTTTACCCAGTCCATGTCTTTTGCAGCTCCTAACCTTCTGACAGTTATCATATATCTGATGTTCGGTAAGTCTGTCCACTCCTGCTTTACACTTTTAATGCTGATCTGAATGACACACAGCTTGTGAATCACACATCATTGAAACAGCTGATGCCTCCATATCAGAGGTCAGAAATAAAACAAGCTACAATAACAATGCTGCCTCCATCTTCAGGGTAGAAGAAGAAAAAAGACAAAATCTGCAAGCGAGGAACCAGCATGAGCAGGTGGCGATACGTTCCTCTGAAACATGGTTGTTACGATAGCTACACGGCACCACATTCCACAAGATGGCATTCTTCATAGTCACTGCTACGAAAATCTCAAATCTTACAAGCTACAATAACTTTGTGTTTTACATCAGTCTCTTCAAAAGAAGTGCCAAGGCAGTGACCTGGTATTCAAAACAGCACCAAGGTGCAGCCTTAGCTCAATGTCAGCTGTGCATACAGGACATAAAATATTATCCTTTTTATTAAAAAAAAGTCTTCACAACTGTGATTCTGAAGAAATCAACAGAATGAGAAATAAAAATAAAAAATAATGATGAATGCACATAAAATGTACCTTAATTCTATTCCAACTTAAAAGTAATACTGGAATTGGTTTACCATATTTCATCTAATCTAGAATAAAGATAGTTCATCTAGCATGGTACAAAATTCATGAATGTGAGTCTCAAAAATTAGCTTCTTCAAAATGTATGCAATCTAAAGATAATGTAATTATGGCACATATTTAATTTAAAACAGCTTACTTAACAGTAATGCATAAACTGCAGAGGCCTATTTTGAAGTAAATTACTGTCATATACCTGAAGAGAGAAGGAATATCATGAAAAGTGTTTTTCCAGACAAGATCTTGTGTAAGTACATTAAAATTTAATGTCATAAATCTAAACCTACTTGCATGATGTGATGGAAATTTAAATGAACATGTCTTGCACCTATTTTAGTTTCTGTATGTCAAAATTTGAAGTTGATAAAACTGCCTATAAATAGAGGAGTAACTAGAATACAAAAGAAATGGTCCCAGTATACAGACAGAAAATGCTACCTCACGTGGACTTGACTTTCAAATATCCTGTGTAAAACCATGCTGTGTCAACTGCCATTTGTACAGAAATGAAAGCTATATCTTAAAGTGGCAGGCATAAGTCAGTCAAATATCTGGATCTGAATAAGTATGATACTGCATGTAATAACATTTGCATGAATCTTAACTTGGAATTTGATTTTATGGAAGGAACCATTTTTTGTAGCTTAATAAGATGAGGCATCATCTGCCCTACTCCAAAGTAAATACAATGAACAAATAATAAAAGAACATGAAATATGGTGGCCAGTGTTTTGTGGTCTGGCAGTTGTTACAATGACATTTCAGAGCTTCCAATATTTTTAAGTCACTCACAAACATGATATGGTCTAAATTTGTAACCTGTGTACATATTGTACAACAGGACAGCGGAGTCCAACTTCTTCAACAAGTCAATTAACTAACCTTACATTTACCAGTTCTATAATCATGTGAGGTTGAGAAACAAAACAACCTAAGACATGTATATTACACAAGTAGATAAAATATGTACGTGCCTAAAGCTATCCAATGACTAGCATAACCAAGAACTGACCACTTTGCCAAGGTGTGGGCATAGTTGTATCCCTCTTCTTGAAGTTTTGAGGACATGTCGAACATAACACCTAGGTACGACAGATGGAACATTGCAACAAGACCAAGCCCCATGTTGCCAAGCACGACAGTCAAGCGTTTCTCTTTATTGCGATGGGAACAGTCCCTCCTGCAAGGACGTACCTGAATGCAGGCACCAAATACTGTAGCAAGCTTCTGGCGTAACACATACTCCACATATGTATATGCTCCTAGTGACAGTAAAACGGCTACCAGTTGAAAGTTCAGTCCATGAAGCAGGGAGCTCACAGCATATGTGGACAGAATGGCTGCAAAGCTGCCCAGAGGCTTTGTTGTTCGGAACACATCTGCAGAAAGTATGCAGGCAAAATTGTTCAAACACTGTTCAATATTTATACATCCTGAACAAGCAATGGTTATGAAGGCAAAGGGTAAAGTTGTTCCTGTGCTTAACTAATTAAGCACTACGTCATGAAGACGTATGTGGAAGTGGATGTATAGATCTATGTATTCTTGACCTTGGCACTAACTGGAAGTGAGTAGTAAGTTTCTCACCCTGGTCCCCTTTACCCTTGGGGAAAGGGCCTCTGGTACCCATTGGATAAGAGGCTGGGTGGGCCCCACAGCCAGTCCGGATGAAATGGAGGTGTGAAAATTCTTTACCCTACTGAGGCTTGGAACTCCGATCCCTGGGTTATCCAGCCTGTAGTCAGTCGCTACACTGACTGCACTACCCCAGCTCTACAGGCAATGGTTATTCCCAAATTTATTTATCAATTCATTCTGTGGCATCATTCATACTTTATGGGGTCTGATTATAAAAAAGAAACAGATTGATGTTTCTATGTAGCATGTGGCAACACTAGTGATGTGGGGAATGTTGGCTCATATGACCACACCATTGAGCAGTTTTGTATCCAACAGCTGTTGGGATTCTGTTTGTATTGCAGTAGCAATAAGAATTTTATCAGATATGAAACAATAGTATTGGTAAGTTCACCCATCTGATATGGTCATGTGCGCAAAGCAATGCGACTACAGTACTAAAGGGGCTTTGTAAAATCATTTTTGACAATGTTTCTAGTCATGAGAGCCACTGAAACATGTGTATGAAGTCAGAAGGTGAATACTTCAAAGGTGACCATATTCACTACTAACTATGACAATATAATTTTATTTTTGAGAATTAGTTTGGTTATTATTCAGACCTCATACTAATAAAAATACTGCATGTCTAACGAAAATGTTATTGTAAACTGAATAGGAAAGAACTAATCCTTTTAAGAACTAAATAAATAATTTCTACATCACATTGACTGAGAACACTGACTTAGCAGAATCAGATGAATGCTACAGAGAAATAAAAAACAAAACAAAACATTGCAGCAGTAGCTACATACAGATATAATGGGAATATACAGATGACCAGGATAACTAAATCACTGATCACTGATGAAAGATAAAAAATCCAATATTCCAATGGTTACAAGAAATTGAAGAACTGAAAAGTAAGAACATGCAGCTGACTAGAATGACTGCATTACTGAGTATGGGAATGACAAACTTATGAAACTGGAGAATCTCTGGAGAAGGAACAATTAACAATAATTCAAATTCATGATTTGATGTGAAAAGCTGTCAAAATACTCACAATTCTTGAGCCAATTGTGCATGGGCACATTCCAGTAGACAACAACTTGGACCAAAGAACGTGGAATCTCTATAAACTGGGGTCGTGCAACAGACAGACTCCATGGTTCATCTTCATGGTGTCCAAACCCTGACATGATGGCTGACGCTTCTGACAAGAAGCATATAAAGTAATGGCTCGATCGAAACGACAGAGCATCCCGATATGCTATCCACCACCTGTATGAATGAATATATTTACTTAATGAAAGAAATACACACTAAGTTAAGATATAACGTTTTTGTGTTATTTACAGAGTGTTGAAATTGTATACTTTTACTACCCATTTAAATGTTGCAGTTACAGCAGCTGATGTAGCACCTGTGTGAATACATATTCAAAGGCAACAGTGATGCCACTGATGGTACCACTGCTTAGAAAGAGGGACAGAGAGGAATACAGTTATAGTGGGAAGTCATGAGGAACAGCATAGTCTCTCTGAAGCTAAACTTTGTCATTCATCAAGTGTTGTCTTATGTCATTCAAAAAGAAAAAGTGTGGGGACTAGAACAACTGCTCATACTAGAGTAGTGTAAATATTAAGTGATATATTTTACTTAATTCTGTTATATATTTATAGATTAAGGGATGCACTCACCATATTTATTCACACAATTTATGCATTCATTAACCAAAAACTGAGGGACATGCAAGCATTACTTTCGAGAGTATAATTTTACATGTTATAGTGAGGTTAGGATTATTATGGCTAAATAATTTTGATAATGAGTTCCATAAAAATACATTATTTCATCTCTTTTCTGCATAGTTGATAACCACAATTTTAAATAATTATCTTACTCCTAATTCAACATCAGATGATATGAATGATATGAACTCCTTAAATGCACCGAATACAACAATAATGCACCAAACATGTAACATAATTTGATGGGGAAGCCCCACAAACAACAAATTATTGTCATGTACTCATGGTTCCATGATCAATGATAATGGGTTCTGGATTGGATGACTGGATTTATTATCACCTTCTTTTACAATCACTCTTAATCACAATCAATTTACAATAACTCACAATAAGTCTTCAGCTCAATTCTGATCTCATCTGTTCTGGTCTGATCCAAGGTGACTTGAATGATGACTGTCTTCTCTTCTAGCCTGTTTTTCACTGTCATCTCCTGGCTTCTGTCTTTAATGTGACTGACTTGGTTCAGAATTTTTTAGTTATGACTGACTCACTTCTGATTTACGAATGACTGCGTTATCGGAACGGCCGCTTATACAGTGTAGCTGTACCCTAGGAGATGTCTGTTCCTTGCTCATATCCATGGAAGTGGTTGTTGAGTCCACTGCAACGAGCTGTTTTCTAAGAGTCAACCTTAAATTCCTGTATCCATGGGCACATACGATGGGGTACCCAAAAGAAACCAAACTAATTTTTTTGTGGGCAGAGCTTTTGTAGTACCGTGTTTTGCTGCTATGAGCACATAGAGCTAACATTCCTGAGTCGATAAGCCGACTACTGTTGCTTCAGAAGGTAAGGACTAGTTTCGGCAGAGTTTATAGTGACAACTGTTCTGTATGATTGTCGTTTTTGCAATGGCCCGAACACATGAAAATGTTGAAAAAATTCGTGAAATCATCAAGGAAGATCGATGACGGACCATTGAAGAAATTGTGGAGCTGTCGGGAGTGACTTGGAGCTCAGTTCAGCGAATTTTGACAGAAGATTTAGGAATGAAAAGGGTGGCTGCGAAATTCGTGCCACGACTGCTGACTACTGAACAAAAACAAGGTTGCGTGGAAGCATGCTGTGCTTTGAAAGAAGAGTCCCGAAATGATCAAAACTTTTTTTCAGCCTTTTGCTGATGTTGCTGAGGTGAAGCAAAAAAACGACGGAGGCGCTGTCAAGCATCTCAAAAGATGAATTTAGACAATGTTTTGAAAAATGGAATAAAAGACTAGACAAGTGTATTAGTGTAAGTGGAGAGTACTTTGAAGGGAATTGAAGGTTTGTGCTTAAAATTTGAATAAATAAGTTAAAAAAAATAAGTTCGGTTACTTTTGGGTACCCCCTCGTATGTTTAACACCCAGCGATGGTTTGTGTTCAAGAATTGTATCTTCATGGAAATGTATTTGTCAATTTGTTTTCTAGAAATGCCTACATGTCACATTATTATTCAGACAGGTATAGAAGAGAAAGTCAAATGTTAAGAAATCAACATCAGAATAAGAAACAATGTGCAAGGTCCTTATGTTACAGGCATGCGCAACTGGTTGCCTCTGTACAGCACGAGTCACTATTCCCATGCCCAAAGCTTTGCTGGCGGGTCTGTGCAAACAGAAGTAACAGAGACTGTATATGCAATAATATTAGGACAGAAAATGTGAATATAGGAAGGTAAAATATCTGGGAAATGAAATGTTTAAAGCAGTGAATGGCAATAGACAATGGCACAACCACGCTGTCTATACAGTGTGTTTCACGACTTTAGGGCATAACTGCAGGAGGTGATTTCCTAGGTCTTTGTGATCAAAAAAGTTCATATAAACATGTGTCCGATTTTTGACGGTTATGGAGGTATGGTCGTTTATCTCGACACTTGAGAGCGGGGTGGGTTGGTATGTCCGGCGCGGTTCACAATCGAGCAGCAGCCTGTGTTGTGGCCGGCAGTGACATTTTCGAAAACCAGCTTTAAGCACCAATCAATTCAAATTAAAGGCAATTTCACGAAGTTAACTTTACAGTCATACTTTAAATGTATCATGTATTATGCTGGTTTATTATTTTGTTCCATTTATTGTCAGTAATCATTACCTTCTATTCTGAGTTTAAAATGGCCATAACTCCGTAACCGTCCAAAATCGGGCACATGTTTATACAAACTTTTTTGATCACAAAGACCTAGGAAATCACCTCCTGCAGTTATGCCCTAAAGTCGTGAAACACCCTGTATAATTCTCACATGGACATCTCAGAGATTGAATTCAGGTCTCAGATGAGAAGACAATGAAAGGTATGACCTGTTATTAATATTTAAACATACAGTACACCTCCTCAGAAATACAGTTGCCTTCTTTTAAGCCAGAAGTGTAAAAAAAAAACTATAATTTTCTTTTCTGAATCTCTGACAACTGGATTTGGTAACATAATAGACCCATCTGTTATTGAAGATCCCCATAAATTAATACAAGTTACAACAATGTCAATGATATACTCAAGCCAGATATATTTTAGTGTTATTTTTGATATTCCATTGTCCAAATTATTAACTGTAATATTTAAGAAACAAGTTCTGTTTTCTTTCTATATCAATATGATAGCATAAGAAATCTTACTGCTGGGTCTGTAAGCAGTAGTAGTCTCTAATCGCAGAGACAAAATTATTACGCTGCAAAGCATATGGCCTGCTCTCTCTCTCTCTCTCTGGCTCTAACAGTCCTCTGAAGGACCTTGGCTGCTTTTTCAGTGTTTTAATCCTATACACAGTAAGACACCTTAGAGAGGGAATTACACAAACAGAATAAATGCACATGACAGCCATGCCTCAAGTGGGATTCAAACCCAGGATCCCAGTGTTTGAGCGGACAAAGATGATTCATGCCTTAAGACCATGCGGCCACTGTGATTGGCCATAAAACCCGCTGGCAGCAAAAATCATTTGTGGGAGATTTCTGGAAGTAAATCAAAGTAAAGGTGTCCCTGTAACAGGCTGTGGAGGCCTATAGGGTTGTGAGATGTTGAGGCTCCCACGTTCTCTAGACAAGCTGCTCACAGATGGCGGTGAGGTTGTCAGCCTTACCTGCCGGCCACACTTCACCCCCAGGAAGACTCCTGGTACTCATTTCTGTTAGAGGCTAAGTCAACCCCAGGGCCATACTGTGACTGGAAGGATTAGGTAAATTGAACCAAAAAAAATCCACGTCATCAGAATTCGATCCCATGACCTTCCAGCTTGCAGCATAGTGCCTCAACCAACTACGCTACCACGTGCCCTGGAACACTTCTGATAACCTTTAAAATTAGCTTAGTTATGTCTTGGTATACAAAGGGATGATTTCAACTAAAAATCTAATGTTAATGATAATATGTAGTTTCTGGGATTAAAAATTGAAAATTTTTTAACGTTGGAAAGTCATATTGATGCAGTAATTGATAAGTTAAACAGATCCTGTTTTGCAATCCGATCAGTTAAATCCTTTTGACCACCGGAGACATTAAAAATGATGTATTTTTCCTATGTACATTCTATAATAACGTATGGATTAATATTCTGGGGTAACTCCCCGCATAGTATAAAAGTGTTTAGGATGCAGAAAAGGATAATTAGGATTATAACAAATACAACAAAGAGAACATCGTGTCGTAGTTTGTTTCAAGAATTGGATATCCTCCCCCTACAAGCTCAATATATATTGTCGATCTCTCTGTTTGTCATAGTAAATAAGGAATTGTTCACATTCAACTCACAAATGCATAATTGTAGTACCAGATCTATCTGTGATCTGCATTATCCGCAAACTAGTCTGACACAATTCCAAAAAGGAATATGTTACATGGGGGTAAAGATCTTTAATCATTTGCCACCAAAAATCAAATCTATGTCTAATGACTTGAAAAATTTTAAATTCAGTTGACAACATTTTTATTGCAAAACTCTTTTTATACATGTGATGAATTCTTTAGCAACAAATTTGCCTAGAAATAAGGATAATAGCATAAACAATTTTAATATTGCATAATTTTATGTATAGTGATGTAAGACTGTTTTTTTGATATAAATTTAACACATGTTTTTTTTAATCTATTTTAATGATTATAAACTGTACATATATATTTATATTTGTATTGCACTATATTAATTATGTGACTGGTTCTATATATATGTATTTATGGAATATACAATAAATGAATGAATGAATGAATTAATGAATGAATGAATCAGTGAACTGATAAGATGATGGATGAAAGACTCAGATATCATGATATGAAAAAAGAAGTCTTGGCCGATGTGTAACATTTGCTGATAATGTTATAAATGATAAGGGAAAAGATAAGCATTAAATTACAAGCATACCTCCATGCTCCATCTGGTATTAGCCAGTGTATCCAACATGTTGACACAGTTAGGAAAATAAATGCCAGTAAAACAGTTGTACAGATCCTCCACAGCCATCTTGTGTTCTAGAACATAAGAAAATTAACAGAGGACATACTGTGTTTGCATTTAACATAAAAAAAATACACATATATAATTGTAGACATGCTTAGTCTCGCCCTCTCTCTCTCTTTTGGAGTTGTTGTGGAGGTAATTTGATGGAAATGCACTCAGGCTGGTTAACATGATTTGAGGAATGGTATGTCATCTGGAAGCCCACCAGATAAGGAGACAATATATGTAGCAATGAATGGGTGCACATGAATTTTGGAACGATTCTGAAAACTTCATAAAAATATAATTATATCTCAAACAATTACACAATTCTGATGAAGCTGTCTGCTATGGAACTGACTTCCAACATATTAACATTTTCATCTGAACATTCTACACTTTGGCATAAATCAGATTACAATAGAATTACTATATTGTGTTGTGCCAATGTTACTAACTCACATTAAATTAAGCTTTGTGTACTTGATAAAGTAAGACAACTTACGTTCCTTCAGAGAGATTTCAAAAAGTGGGCTGACAACAACTCCGTACCATACATATGCAAATATCTGAGCTTGAAGGATTTAGCCAAAAAGGTTGTACTGTTGTTAGACACTTGCAGTCCAGTAAGGAATGGAGTGAGTCCTAGACAGTCATTGATTGTGAGCTGTCATAATTGATTGTAATTGTTAAGAAGTGTCAATTAATCCAATCATCTAATACAGAACCCAGTGTTATTTGTCACACAAACCCCATATACATGATAATATCTTTATTTTCCAAAATGTCATGAACAACTGTTTCTCTTATGCTGTATGTTGCTGCTATATTCTACTTGGAACTTCCTTATTCAAGTTTCTGTATTATTTCTAATAGTTTCTCTATTATTTCCAAAACTCACTTATGTTTCTTGCATTTTTTGTGACTGAATACAAAATAAAATATAAAGGATTAAGTGATATTAAAATATTTCTATGATTTATTCTATCCATCTTACAGTGCATACATTTATTCACCTTACTCTTCTCTCTTGCACTACATGTTTCAGCACAAAAGTGCCATCTTCAGGTGCTTTTCGATGTACGTCAAACTACTTCATTGCATGCCCTGTTGTCTTTATACTAAAATAAGTAAAATATATATTCGTCATATATATTGATAAATTTTATATATTAAAAATGTTAAAACTGTTCAGGATTTGTCATCCTTATGTCGTATCTCAATACGCGAGTCACACCTATCTTCTTCTGTCGGAGTATTCTTCCTACTTTCATGTGTGTATTGTGCTTTGTGTTGTGTCTTACTCCTGTGACTGCGTGTGTTATACTGCTGGGCCTGCTGGGTATGTAATAATATTATTATTAAACTTCTACTACCTTGTATGTATATATTTGGAATAATATGCCATGTTAAACTTCATTTAGAAAAGTTAGAACAAAATAACGTTTTCCTATGACAGTGATTTGACAAGGAAGGAAGAATGGATTGGTTGATTGATTGATTGATGTGAAATGGATTGAATTGGTTACTCTGTTGGGGAATTTATGTTGTCTTAAATTTTTAATATAGTTTTATATGATATGTTGGACATGTACACAATTTGTGTATGTAGTTAAATATTATAGTATTGTTGACTTTTATACAAATAATTTGATTTGTTCTATATCTGGAGGCTGTATTGCAAAATGTGGATTTCTGGAACCAATAAAAATATGAATATGATACTGCATGAACTAGATTTCAAAGAGAAAACTGAACCAAATAAATGTAAATTAAATGTGAAGGGGTAAGGTACACTCTACCACTAACATTTTATGTAAGTACCTTGCAATGGCTGGAACAGTGCTGCTTAATTAAGTCCAAGTTAAGCATTACACAAAAATTACTGAACTTTGTTTGAAGTCAAATCCTGCAAATAACTGCAGACTATACAGGAGTGAAGCACAACCTTTGGCCTGCCAGGGTACTCTATGCAGTCCACACTGACTCAAATGATACATGACACACTGTCAGTGACGCTCAATACAGATGTTGACTCCATACATAAGTAATGCAAATTATATGCACATCTCCATTGAGACATTCTTAGTCTTCTGTCGGCTTGTTTCCGCTTTGGCTCACATAAAAGAAGAATAAAAACTCAGCTGCTTTTTGATGCATTTCATACATCCTGACTGCCAACCAGTTATTACTTTGGCACCACAGCATACAAAAACAAAACTGTTATTGCATTTTTCCAGACAGGGGAAGGGGACTAGATTTATGAGCCAGTTTAAACCTTAGGAAGCTGAACACCAACATAATTGGCCAGGGCTAGCTTTGCTAATATTCCCTGACACACTTTCTCCTCATTCATTCATTCATTCATTTATTTTTCGTTCCATGGATCCACAATACAAGTGAGATATAGGACATGTCCATACAGTGATTATTCTTAAAATTAATAGAGCAAGAGCTAAGTACATAAATAAAAAAGTATAAAATACAAAAATTGAAACAAAACATGTAGGATCAAGTAGATTCCAGTCATATAAGTTAATTTAATAAAACATGCAGTTTAAANTAAGTCACACTAATAGGGTGGCTAGTGTTGGTAGTGTTATATACCAGTCAAAATCTGGAAGTTTTGTGTCTTCTGTTTGCAAAATTAACAGTTTATAGGGCATTTGTATGTGGTTTAATAAAATCATTTGCAGTTTCACTGTAATTTAGAACAGGATTTTCAAGCATTAAGAAGGTTAAGAACATTTCAGCTGTTGCACCTGGCACTAAGCTCTCAGTTTGTAAATTACGTTGTGTCTCAGCTGTGCAACCTTGTGACTATAATTTCTTTGTATTGTGAATTATATATTATTAAGAATGATCCAGTGCCTGTAGAACAGTTGTGACACAGTAACTACTAAAGATGTACATTTCATGTGAAATCATTTCTTCATAAACAAAACTCATGGCTGACAAAAGTGAAAGGCAGAAGTGGAAAGTGGAAGAAGACAAGAGAGTATTTCAAGAATGGACAGAGAAATATTGTTTTGTTGAGAATAAATGTAGCATCATATGTGAGATCCTTCAACTTATCACAAGCATCACATCTGGCTTGAAAAGTCTGGCATATGTAACGCACACTCAGTGATCACCTTAGGAAGTTATGTCTTCATTGTTTATGAACATTTTATGTACATTAATTTGTTTTAATAATACATTTTTTTATAATAAATATTTGCAGAATTCCATTTGGCTTTCTGCAAAAGTAGTTCTAATTGATAAGAAAAAGTTGTGCATCACTGCTGTAAAATCTATTGGTTGGCTACTAGTCACTGAATAATAATACAAATATATTTCCAATGCAAAAAATACCCTGTTCAGTTGTAGTAGGCCAGTGTAAAAAGCAATAAAATAGAAAAATAAATAAGCACACGCAAATACAACGGGATGCTATAAACAATGACTAAAGGATTCTAAAAATTCCACGGTTAATCTGCAAATGCATGAATGAGAGTTGAATGCATAGATTGTTTTAAACACAACAGGATCTAATAATGCTGTCATGATTTTACATTAACTATAGATGGGGTTTTGAGTGGTAATTAGATTCATTGAACACTTATAAATCATAATTACAATTAACTGCAGAGCTATTGCTAATTCACTACAGTGCGTACTAAGTCTTCTCAGTCTCCTGTGTCTTCACCAGTTGGTGCCTGGTGATGGACCCCAACAATGTTCTCTGCTTCCATGCTCACGTTCTTACTGGCTAGTGACCATCTCATAACTAAGTCATTGTTCCAACTGTCCTGTTTATAACATCTTGACATGGACTACACAGAAAACACTGTTCGTCTATTGCTGTTCCAAACTATTTTGTGAAGCCATTATTCAGTAATGACTGTTGTATTTTTGTTATCTTGCGGTCGTTGCCCAGCAACAGGTCTACATGCTACGACATNATATAACATCTTGACATGGACTGCACAGAAAACACTGTTCCTCTGTTGCTATTCCAAACTATTTTGTGAAGCCATTATTCAGTAATGGCTGTTGTATTTTTGCTTATCTTGCGGTCGTTGCCCAGCAACAGGTCTACATGCTACGACATCATATACGTGATTACTGCAAGAACTAACCTCCTTTTTGGCACAGAATAAATCTGTGAGTACTAAAAATGCACTTTTGGCCACAAAATTAAGAGAAATATATGAATTATGCTACTACATTTAACATACCACATGCTGCAGTACTTACCCAAAGGGGTTTATTGAAGATGGATATGTAGTCCCTGTATGGGACCCATGGACCAAAGACACATGTACCAACACACAGAACATAGCCTGTAAACTCAGCAGGAGAAGGAAGACACTGGAGAGCCCCAAAATCAGTATCAAAAGCTACTGATATCACCTTCATCGCTACCAGCATCTGAGCACCACGAATTTTGTGCCATTCTGTTCTGTTCACGAAACACAATTCACTGAGAGAAGAAAGAAGCATAATCAGGCAAGTCATCATTACTGTAATGTTCTAGAGGCTTCCTTATGAATCACCAACAATGTGATAGTTGTTTTTTGTCATATAATTATATTTACATGAAAAAATATGTGAAAAACTTAACCTGAGGACTCCTGTATATAATGTACTAAATTTCCTATTGCAATTAGCTGTTGCGTTACAAATATGAGGTAAACATACCTAACTTTTTATACTTCATTTAGTTTCAATTCATTCATTGATACAAATATTATATTTTTTGACATTATCCATCATGTTGCCTATTTTCTAAAAACTGTCCTATTTCTGACGTCCTGATAACGGAGACAGAATCCAGTCTCCAAAACGTTGTGTTTTCAAAAAGAAACATGATTGTTTTTAGAAAATAGACAAGATGATGGATAATGTCCAAAAATGTATTACTTGTAGCAATATACCATCGTCACAGACTTTTAGATCTCATTTACTGATACCTGATTAATGTTAACGGAATTCATAATTACAAAATTACTTGGATGCCTACGTGAATGTTTAAGTTCAGGGAGATCAGTTTATCCTATGAATGCAACATAAGTGATAGGAAGATTACTGCATATATTAATATACATGAAGTGCTGAAATCCATATCAGAAGTGACACTTTCTGATCACTTGGTTGAAAGTGAAACTGAAATCCCAAAGTCTCTCTTTAAATATAAATTTTATTCCAGCATAGATCAGATAAAATTTACGGAACTCTCTAAGGTAATCAATATATATTCTGTAAGTAATTTCAGAATACACAACCATTTCTTAACAATTCTCTGTGAAAGAATAAACCATACCAGGCAAACCGGCTTCCTGATCCATGTTACGGTAATAAAAGATTATAAAACATGACTAATTTGTGCTATGCAATTGAGAATTTAAGGGAATCAAATGAAAAAAAAATTGATTCAAATCAACAGTATCAACATTAAGACATACATATATTAAAAAAACGTTTCACCTGGATAACATTCAATGCTTCACATGAAATTATTGTCTAGTCACATTAATTTGAAATGAGACACAATCATTTTCGTTTCTTACTGATAAATATAAATAATAATTATTAATTATTTTCAATACCATTTGTTTTTGTCTGCAGAAAATGCAGTAACATCAAATTATTAATTCCAAGTTTTAAGAGGATATCTGATCAATGACCATTCATATAAATCAGTCATGACCTAGCTGGCATATGCACACACACACAAAATGTGAATGCTGTAGTGCTTTCATGACTGTGCGGAATATAGATCTTGTTACAGTCTTGAAATTTTCAAGTGATTTCATTACTCACCATACAATGAGAAATGCAACTGAAGCCATTCCTACGATAGGGCCTCTGTGTTTTTTCAAGAGGCGGGAAACTAGGAACAGACACAAGTATGCCCCAACAGTAAACCCTACAATGTAGTACATAGTGGACCGGAAAAAATGATGTAGCAGTAGCAACCCTGTACCAGAAGAAAGGATGTGGCACACCAATGTAGGGATGGTAACTGCAAATATAAAGCTCTCATCAGCTGCCAGCATTTAGTACCACACCAACTACATCTGTACTTCAATCACATTTTTTTTAGACTTGCTGTACTTGCTTACTCATGGAGCTGAGCCTTTCTTGAGAAGCCAAATCTGCAGCTACTCAAGAATTTGCCAGCATTTTATGGAACCCGAAGGTTCATTACCGTGTTCACGAGAGCCCTCCAGTGGTTCCTATCCTGAGCCAGATCAATGTAATCCATACCATCCCATCCTATCTCTCTAAGATTCATTTTAATACTGTCCACCCACAGATGCCTTGGTCTTCCCAGTGGTCTCTTTTCTTCTGGCTTTCCCACCAATATCCTATACGCATTCCTCTTCTTCCCATTAGTGCTACATGCCCTGCCCACCTCACACTCTGCAGACGTGTGGTAAATAACGCATCATTCAACATGATCAACAATATGTATCAACCAATAAATTTACAAACTACACAGTATATGTGGACAGACGATTTTCAAGTACCAGTCTTTCTGATTATTCGTGTCCCCAACAGAACGCAGTTAGTCCTGCAGTGCCAAACAGAGAGGCAATATCCAAACAATATTTTTAAAAAGTATACAAGGAACAGAAAGTATCTGTCCAAAGAAATAAATTCCTGGTCATAAAATGTAGAGATGTATGTGTTGGCATCTATGTTCTAGGTAGAGCACATGAAGACATTTTAGTTTGAAACCTCAAAGTTCAAGAGGAGCCCATAACAAGGAAAATGCAATTGCAGTAACAAACTGTAATAAATACATGGAGCTGTGAGTATAACTCACAAAATCTACTTTCCCGTAGCACATATTTACAGTCCAACAGATCTGTTAATCTGTTATTATTGTTAAATTTGTTTGTCTTGTGAAGAACTTATTACTGTGTATGTTAAATTTGTTGGATACAACTTCAAAATTTCATATAATAGGTAAAGGTAAAAGCTATCCCTGTAACAGGCCGTAGAGGCATACAGAGTTGTGAGACATCGAGGCTCCCACATTTTCTAGATAATCGGCTCACAGACGGCAGTATGGTTGTCTGCCTTACATGCCAGCCACCTCTTACACCCCAAGAAGATTCCTGGTACTCATTTCTGTTAGAGGCTGAGTCGACCCCAGGGCCATAGTGCAGCTGGAAGGATTAGGTCAACTGAAAAAGGTCCACCGCATTGGGACTTGAACCTGCGACATTCTGGATTGTAGAATAGTGCCTGAACCAACTATGCTACCATGTACCCCCACAAAAATTTCACACTGTGACTTGTTTGTAATGGTTAACTTACTAACAACATTCCACACCAAATATGTAAGAATATTTATGACTTATCCCCACTCCAAATTCCACAAGCTTAGCTCCAATGCTAAATCAGTTATCATAAAAGAGAGCTAAAGACAATATTTACACAGACTCCATGTTGTTAAAAATGCAACCAAGGCTGCACTCCTGCCATGCTGTTATTACCAACTGTAGAAGATTAGAAAGTACAGCATTGGGATGGCCTCAAATGGTGATTGGTTCAAAAGTTGAAAACCCAAAAGGCAGCAGTTTTCCATTCATGGAGAAGTAGGCCAATAGAACTGGAATCAACAAAATAGACTGAACATTATCATGCCACTCATTGCAAAGGAAATCTGTGAAGTGATGGAAAAAGTAAACACCCATTTCCTACCTGAAAGCAGAAATTAGATCAGTTTCTAAAAGCGGCCAAAAAAAAAAAACCTGCAGAACAATCACCAGCAAATACTAGAAGCAGACTAGTGCCATGATGATATCTGCCCATAGGATTCCCACAGCAGAATAAGGGCAAAAGATTGGATATGTAAAGTCTGTGTGGACAGAAACACTGCACTTTAAAGACAACAGAACTCACTTGCACTAGTAGTGTGTGCTGTTTTGGGGAGATTTTTCCATATGAAAGCAAACTACTGAGAGTGACGATGCAAAACAGGGAGGGAACCCCACCTGAAATGATGAAATCTGGTTTTTCATCAAACTTTTGTGTCAGGGATGCTAGAACTGAGACAGATATATCAAGATTTATGAATGCGATGCAACATTTACCATACCCTTTATATTCTACCTGTCATATGTAAAGCTAAGACACACAGTCACACATTCATGGGACATTTAAATCTGGGTTAAAAGTACTAAAAGGATGGTAAAATATAGTCTGATGATTTGGATTGGGTTAATTTTGCTCTGGATACAGTCCCATGGCAGGCTCATGCGAACACGGTACTGAATTTTTCAGCTCTGTCAAAGGTCCGCTAGTTCTTGACTGGCTGGATAACTATCTGTTCCACGGATAAAGTCAGTTATTAAAGGAGGTGCTTGTTGAAACCACACCTATCTGAGTTGAGGCCCGGAAGAGAAAACACCACAGAAGCAGTTTTCCCACGTGACTGAACCCATCTCGAACTGTGGGCTCAATGCAAAGTTCCAGGAGCTCAGTAATCTTCATACCCTCATCCACGTCTTCTTCTTCATTCCACAAGTTTGCACCAGGCATGTATGCATCATCATACATGGGAGACATATCCTCCATGTCTTCAAACAGATCATAATCAAAGTCATTCATGGTGCTGCATGATTACACCTGCAGGAATATTGAGCAAGTCAAATCTCACATCAAACTGACTCAAACAGAGGATACATATGCATAAAAAAAAGAAAAGGTATCCGGAGTTCGAGATAAGACCAGACCAGCCCATGTGGAGGCAGGTTCGAATACCTCCACAGTGAGCCTGCGAGTCATAGGAGGTGACAAAACGGGAAGTCTCAAATCTGAGACAGTAATATATGATCTCAAGTACCAACGGTCCCAGATCCGAGAAAGACTGCGTTGCCAAGGACTAGCAGCAGGACCTCTCGTCAGAGAGGGTGCCCACAAAAAACAAGACCGTAACTGTCAAACAGTAATAAAGATCTGGTTCCAAGCCCCAGATGGGTGCTTTATGCCATGACAGAATGTCGGCTGTAAAATGAGACTCTGACTCGGATTAAAGGTATCCCTGTAACAGGCCGTGGAGGCCTATGGGGTTGTGAGATGTCAAGGCTCCCACATTTTCTAGACAATCAGCTCACAGATGGCGGTTAGGTTGTCAGCCTGCCATTTACCCCCCCCCCAGGAAGATTCCTGGTACTCATTTCTGTTAGAGGCTGAGTCGACCCCAGGGCCATAGTGTGGCTGGAAGGATTAGGTAAATTGAAAAAACCCATACAGCGATATTGGGTTTTTGGACTTTATCCATCGTCCTGGTTTCTAGGATAACTAATAAAAACACGTTTTGGAAACTTCATCTGTTTCCATCCTCAGGTGAGGGAAAACAGATCCAGTTTCCGAAACGTCGTGTTTTTATTAGTTATCTTAGAAACCAGGACGATGGATAAAGTCCGAAAACCAAATATCGCTGTATGTTATACACCATCCTCAGAATCCTACAGTAACTACTTGAAAAAAATCCACCTCATTGGGATTCGATCCTGCGACCTTCCGGCTTGCAGCATAGTGCCTCAACCAACTATGCTACCATGTGCCCCAGATATATATGCATGCAAGTAAGAAACTATCTTATATACAAAAAGAAATGTTTCTCTAAAGAAGGTAAATTTATCCCTGCATTTAATTAATTAAGAACCATGCCATGAAGGTTTATGAGGCAGTGAAGGCATAGCTCCACCATTATAAATGTCAGACCAAGTGGAGGTGAGACGATTTCTGAAATTGTTAACATAGCATGTAATTTCAGTAACTGAATGTAAATTGCAAAACAAAACCAATGTTCATTCACAGAGTGACATCTATTCAGACTGACTCTTAAAGGGAAACCTTAGTGTTCAATCTGAAATTCACACAGTGCTGTCTCTTGGGATATGACGCCATGTAGTCTGGTAGGAGTTTACTGGCATTTTGGAGAAATAAACTGCCTTCAACTTCAGAATCTAGGTGTAAGCCATGCAAGCAACAAGCAGTGAGATGCAAGTTTAGAAATAGGCCTACAAAGCTGCTAACATGAAAATAACAAAGGCGAGGGAAACAGTAACTAGTGTTGCCCCTGAAAGGGTTGTAATTGGAAAAGTGGAAGGATGGGAGAAGGCAGGAGAAAGGTAGCATGAAGCCAAATGTGACGTACAGACAACCCTGTAAAGTAATGGTGACTGCAGCAATGCAGCGGGGGATGAAAGGAGGAAGCAGTTGCCCACACAGAGCCGCAGGGAATGTTTTCCTTGATTCATCTATAGCCCCCTTCAGTCACTGATGCCAGGTTTCTCCTGCCTTCTTCTATCTCTCCACTTTTGCAAATATGGTCTTTTTCAGGGCCAGCACTCTCTACCTGCTTCTACTGACTCCCTCGGGCCTCCTTTTGTGGTCCCTGTCTGCACCATGTTTTCAATGCGAGGCTTGCTCTGTTTGCTGGTTGCATGGTGTACACTTCAACTCTGAAGCTAGGGTCATTATGTCCCTCTTAAACATCAATACACTTCTTCCAGACCACATTGCAGTATTCTTCATATTTGCAGTAATTGTAATCATACAACTGGAAACACATCTACAATACCTATAAACTACAATGGTATAAAAATGTGGCATTTCTCATAAGAAAAGTGAAGGCTTAGGAAATAAAAAAGTACTAATAATTTCATAACCTGATTATGACAAATTTCAAAAGTTTGTATGAAGGGTGACTCACGTTTTATGGCAATAAAAGCTTCTAAAAACGATAACTTCTCTCATTTACACTTGGCTAACAAAACTGGCAATCTTTAATCGTTCACAGCTTCACAACGATGTCAGTGCAGCAATTTATGCTTCTTCAGAAGTCACAGAAATTTTAAATAACACGTATATACATTAGGATGAGACAAAAAATACTCTCACTAAAAACTGATACTGTAATAAACCACAATGTCCAAACCCGTTATCAAGTAACGCCAATATTTGACACCTGCAATGGTTTTGTCGATAACGTGAAACACACACTATTCATTGTATTGTAGTTGATACGAAATGTCAAGCCGCATGCTGACTACACAGTTATATTAATATTTGGGTTAACAGAACAATGGGAGTTCCAAAACAAATGCAGACGCAACATTGTTCTTATTATTGGGTCTAATGGAATTTGTTCGAAAAAACCTCCAACATGCCTTACCACCTAAACACACCAGCAAGTCTCAGTTTAATTCGAGATATCCCAGCTAGAGGACACTTTCGATAGCAAAGATCTTCACAAGAAGACATCACAGCTTTCCTAAGAGTCAGTCAAATAATTTACCAGCTTCGTTATTAAATGAATTTTAACACCTGCAAAAGGAACTGCTTACATTGTATGTTACCAACAGCATGACGGAGCATGACCGTTTCAATCGCCAACAACAACTACGGCGTTTTATAGTGTTCAAGATAATGTTGGTATTAGGCACTGAGAGCTATATTATACTATACTATTATACTATACTATTTTCGTCGTTTACATCGGACCTTTCGTTATAGTTTGTACGGTTTGTACCGCAGATGGAGGTTGGTACGCTGTAGGTTGATTGCTGGATAATGGAATAAGAACACGAAACCTCGAAATGGCAATCTTGCATATGTTTCGGTGAAACCCACGTACGGAAGAGATCATTTTCTTGATTTGCAAGCATAATATGTATAGCTAAGCTACAGGCTGGACGGCTCAGCAGTTGTTTGATTATTAAAAAGCGAAAGAGGCTAGCCTCCACGTAGCCCACATCACGCCTGCAGCCTACCAAGGCTACCCAGCCCTGTAATGTTCCATCTGAACTGGGGCTTATGATCATCTTCAAATTGAACAACTGGAGCGTAACAAGGCTATATAAACAATACTATATTCAGACAATTTAACAGTAATAACGACATTTGAGTTACAAAACTGCAAGTAAATATGGTATGAAAAATTCCATATTCGAAACTAAAGGAATTGGAATATGTGGAAGAAATATTGAAAGAGTAGAAGTAGAAGCAGATGGAAACGTAATAGAACGAGTACCCGAATTTGCTTACTTATGAAAGATGATTTCATAATCGGAGAAGGATAATGACACAAAATTACAAGGTAACTAGAATAAAAGGTATAATTGAAATAATTTTTGGCACGAAAATGTGCCAAATAGATGCAAATATCTGTGCAGGAATAAAAAAAGGTAAATTTAAGTGCGCTGTATCGCGAGGAGGGAGATACACAGAACAACGGATCTTCATTTCAATTCGTAACATCACAAATTCTGTGCAAATTATACAAAAAATTATGCTATAAATGTAGAAGTGTCAAACATTTTGTGGCATTCGGGCAGTGTCTGCATTCATTACAAATGGCGGACTAATGAAATTTTATCGATCTTGTAAATAATCTGACTTAGTGTCGCAGCCGATGTCCTCATTGTGCTAGCTTTCTCACATTAGTGCAAAATATTAAGTTGTGGTGATACGAACATGCTGTTTAATGGCACCCTAAATATTGCAGTATTTAAATTAGAAATTGCGTTCTAATTACTCATCGGCTTCATGGTTTAGGGTCACTAACTGTGTAACGGAAATTAGATAAATATTAAATTGTCCAGGTTGAGACATTTCGAATATTATTTTTATTATTATTCTTAGCAGGGTGAGACTGAGCCCTCTTGGTACTGTGGACATTACTGGCCTATTGTACCAGCCCCAGATGATAGATGATGATGAGTGTGGAGCAATTGCTGGCAGGGGAAACAGAAGTACTCGGAGAAAACCTGAGCCAGTGCCACTGTGTCAGCCATAAATCCCATGTATACTGACCCGGCTTCGAACCCGGGCCGTCGCAGTGGGAAGCCATTGACTAACCGCCTGAGCTATGGCACGGCTACTACCAAATCTTCCTTCTTATTTATTTTTGTATGGACTGTAACGGACCGCCTCTGTAGTCTAGTGAGCAGAGTTCTTAGCTACAGACCTAGAGGTCCCAGGTTCGATTCCCGGGGATACCACATTTTATGAGAAGTAGTGGGTCTGGAACGGGTTCCTCTTAGCCTCGTGAGGATATTTGAGGAGCGATTTCAAGGAAATAGCAGCTCAGGTCTAGAAAACCAAATTAACGGCCGTGGGGATCCGTTGCGCTGACCACGTGACACCCTCTATCCGCTAAAGCTGGCACTAACTTCGCCGACAAGCGGAGGTCGCTTGGTCGGTATAGTTCGCTTGCGGAATAAAGCCACGGAGTTTGTTTATTTGTTGTACGGTAAGGAGGCAAACTGATCCCGGATATGCTAGGCCATATAAGACGGGTTTTGTGACGACGGGAATGAATATTCGCTTTCCATAATAAGGAATCTATTAATTTATTCGTGGTATAGTTAACAATGCTATCGATGGTTCAGAATACATAGCATCAGATGCTAGAATGATGAATTTGGAATTATGTGGAAGCAACCAATCACGATCCACTTTGGAATATATCCAAATATTTTGGATATCCGATCTCCGGGCCGATATTTAAACACGTGACTGGCTGTACATATAGCAGGAATGCAAGCAAGTTCAGAGCGATATATTGATTAGGTTCCGGTCTAGAAAACCGAGATTAACGGCCGTGGGGATCCGTTGCGCTGACCACGTCACACCCTCTGTCTGCTGAAGTTGGCACTAATTTCGCCGGCAAGCGGCGCTAGCTCGGTCGGTATAGTTCGCTTGCGGACTATAGCCCACGGGAGTTTTTTAATCTCAAGTAGGTATCTTCTTTACCAGGTCACATCTATCTGCCCCGTACTGTGGAGTTACTTAATAGCGCGCAATATGAAGTACATTTAGACGCTGGGTGTATATAAGATTTCAGAGGCGGTATGCTGATTGACACGACAGGGCTCTGCAGTGCGCTGCATGCACGCTGTGCACCGTGAAATGGGGTTAGCAAATCTGGCAGAGCGCCCGACGGAAAAGACAGCATTTGTACACAATGGAGTATATGGACATGAAAGAAAAATGTTATGCAGAGACAATCAATCAGCTTTTATGCAGTAGCGTCTTGCGGACTGCATACATCTTGGCGTCCGCCTCTCATTACACTGTTGTGTGTAAACTTACGGCTATTCTGCATTTTAGAGTAATACTTACTTACTTACCTAATCCGTTCCTCTTATAAATTTACGGTGTCGAGGTTGTTTCTTTTTTCAGTTTCATGGTCATTTTACAGATGGTAGGACTAAGTGGACAGATGATCAACTCGTCGCAAGGTATTTACCTAAACACAGGACAACATAAATACAGAATAAACACATACACATGCCAAACATCTATGCTTTGAGTGGGATTCGAACCCACGATCCCGGCTTCCGAGCGAGCAAAGACAATACATGCCTTAGACCGCTCAGCTACCGTGATCGTCATTTTAGAATATTAAAAACACAAAACATACTCCGTGGCCTGTAGTCCGCAAGCGTACTATACCGCTTGTCGGCGAAGTTAATGTCAAATTTAGCGGATAGATGGTGTCGCGTGGTTAGCGCAAAGGAACCACACGTTAATCTCGGTTTTCTAGACCGGACGTTTTAGAATATTATGACTCCAAAACTGCATAATGAGGAGCTTCATAACTTGTACTCTTTGCCAAGTATAATTAGAATGATCAAGTCAAGGAGGATAAGATGGACAGGGCATAGCACGAATGGGGCGAAGAGGAATGCATATAGGACATTGGTGGCAAAGCCCTTGACATAAATAAGACAGGAATCAATCAAACAATGAACTAGTTTGATTCCACCTCTCTCTTCAGTCAATGAATATTTCGCTTTGATACGAGATGGGAAATTAACTTACAAGCATTAAAATTATTCAGATAAATACATGGGGCTATTTGATGTATTTTTATTATTATAATGAAGCAAAGCTAATTATATACCACTTTGTGTTGTGCACTAGTACATACGTGTATATATACAGAAGTCCTGGTCTCTATCATCATAATCACCCTGGGCAAGTACATTAGACCAATCAGTGGCCGACGTGCCGAGTGGACCCAGCTGGACTCCACCCCCCACTATGCGAATAAAAAAACTTCAACAGTACCATATTAAATATTTTCTTAATTGGATTGAAAGAGGGATGACGAAAATTACACAGAGTTTCACGATGATGGCATTAGATAACACCTAACACAATTAATAAGGCCGCGCCATAGCTCAAGCGGTTAGTCGCTGGCTTCCCACCGAGGCGGCCCGGGTTCGATCCCGGGTCAGGTCAAGTGGGGTTTATGGTGGACAAAGTAGCTTGGGGCAGGTTTTCTCCGAGTACCTCGGTTTCCCCTGCCAATCTTCATTCCACCAATTGTTCCACAATCACCCTCACCTATCATCTGGTGCTGGTACAATAGGCCAGAAGTGGCAGCAGTACAAAGGACTTAGTCCCACCCCACTAGCAATAAAAACACAATTAATAAATTAAAATCAACTCCTGTTACGTTAAATCACTTTTCCAATCTTGTCATTGCATTTCGACGTGTGAGAGAACACATGCCTCGCCTTGCTATGGGCTGCAATAAGTGTGTATCGACTCTATTGCGCTGAAACGTGATTCGCTTGTTTCATTTCTTGAAGACGGCGGGCAGATGGTACTCTCGTCAGTCACGAGAGCCCGCCACGCGGGAGACTGTCGTTGGAGTTATTTCGCGCGCGTGAGTGGTTCAGTAGCAAAAAGAGTGGTTATAATTTCTGTGTTTCTTGGTGAGTGGATTAAGTTAGTTTGAGTGAAAAACAACGATAAAGAAGAATCAGCAACATTATTACAACAGCTGTTCACAAGGTAGGATTCGCCGAATAAACTTAAAAAAAAAACGGATCATCTTGGTAACATTGCAGTAGCGAACAAGTTGAAACAGGTTAATGTAACGTTTGGCATAACACAAGGTTATTGGAGAGCTTTTAATTTATATGGAACATTTTTTATTTTGGTTCAAGGCCGTTTTGAATGAAACTGATTTGTAATTAATATTTCTACAATGGAAATATTTAGAAACTCTACTCACAGTCTCTTAAATTAATCCCTCAACCGATCTCCTTGCAGCCATTTTAAACTAGCATTGCCATTCTGGCTGTAGGAAAACGTGTAAGGTTCTCATCGACCGAGATTGCTCGAGCCTTGCTTCTGAATTGTGTTCGGTTCAAATTTCTGCCGACGCACCGACTGTTCTTGGTGAAAGGCTCATCAGTACCCATTAGATAGGAAGTTGGGTGGGCCCGAGGCTCAGTCTGGAGGCTGTGGAGAAAAGAAATATCTAGCACTGTCGGGAATCGAACCCTGACCATCCAGTCCGTGGCACGTCGCTATACCG